GTCTTGTAGGATATTCCTTTCATTTGGAACTTCTTAATACTCTAGTCCTTGTGGCAAACAGTCTTGAAAGAATATTCCCTTTTTTGATTTGGATCTTTTTAAAAATTATTTTATGTATGTATTTATGTATTTATTTATTTAGAGACATGTCTTGTTCTGCCACCCAGGCTGGAGTACAGTGGCGCAATAATAGCTCACTGCTACCTCGAACTCCTGGGCTCAGGTGATCCACCCACCACAGCCTCCAGGGTAGCTGGTACTACAGGTGCACAGCACCACACCCAGATAATTTTTTTTTTTTTTGGTAGAGATAAGATCCTGCTATGTTTCTCAGGCTGGTCTCAGAATTCCCGGTCTTAAGCAATTCTCCTGCCTTAGCTTCCCAGAGTGCTGGGATTATAGGCATGAGACACTGTACCAGCCTGGATTTCGGTCTTTTTCACTGGATAAGAATACAATACGATCAATTCCACAATCCTTACATTGCAATTTACAAGAGATATTTCATAAGTAGGTAATGAAGAGAAAGGGACAAAATTAAGTCAACTAAAGGCTTCGCTTTTGGGATAGGCTCAGTGTGTGAAGTGTGCTAGGCACTCAGTGGGAGTGCGCTGCTGTCAAAACAGGCCCTGGCTACTGCTGCTGGGGCTGACTCAGAGAGGGAGGGTTTCTCCATCTTCTGTCTTGGGAAGAATAATTTATTGTAGGCCACCTGGTAGATAAGATGCAGGATGCTGTGAAATTTAGAGTTCCAAGATGTTTTTCAGCCAGAGACATTTGAGTATTTGGCAAATTCTATTTTCAGATACTCCCCTCAGGACTTGCTTCCTTAGTTCATTGAGCATTGATATTTCTAGCCACGGCTTTGGATAAAGCAAGGAGGCCATTCTTAATCTTATGCCTTGCAAGTTTATTATCTTGCCAGTATTCAATAAAATGTAGAATCATCTCTTATAACAATGTGGTTGTTTTCCAGCAGATATTAACAGCAGATTCTGCATCTGAATCTCTTTAAAGGTTAAGGGTTCAGGACAGCATAAAGCTGGGGGTGATGATGAAGAATCATTTGGTAAACAAGCACATAAATACATACTGAGTAGAGAAATGTTTCTTTAGCCCATCATGCAGCCTGTTTGGGCCAGGCCCAGACGAGTGGTGATTTCTGCCAAACAGCAGTGACCTTGTTCCCACCAAGAAATAACTTACTGTGTCTCAGTCTCACCATGTTTATTCAAAGTGGTCTTTGCTATTAGTAGTTGCTGAGTTTCAAGATAAAATGTCAAATATTGAATGTCACTAAGGATATCCGTATCTCTTCTGCCCACAACGCACATGGGCTAGGAAGGGAAAAATCTGAGCCAGTAACAAAAACAGCCAGTAGCCACATTAAACTACATCATCTGGGGAGCATCCGTACCCTACCTTTGGTTTTGCCTTTATTGACATGTAACTTTGGATTAATAATGTAACCTCTTTTAACTTTCGATTCATTGTTTGTAAATGTGAGTGAGGTGTTTCATGGGTATCCTGGAAACTTGTGAAAATGAAATGAAATGAAAGATGCAAAGCTGCTTTGTTGACTGTAAAACTCTACACCAGGGTAACGTTACTTTTAAAATTTTTCTAATTATACATTTAATATTTATTATTCATTACAACGACCCCCAAAATTAAAAAAATTCCTGCACCAATGTTAGTCTTCAGAAGGGACCACATTTGACAATTTCGTGCTTACCTTTCTACACTTTATGAATGTGTGTGCATGTGTGTGGGGGCTGGTGGGTGGGGTTAACAAAAAAGGGATAATATCCTACTAACCAGTAAAATACTATGTAGCAATTTTTCTTTTTTTGAGAAGGAGTCTCGCTCTGTCGCCCAGGCTGGAGTACAGTGGCGCGATCTCGGCTCACTGCAAGCTCCGCCTCCCGGGTTCACGCCATTCTCCTGCCTCAGCCTCCTGAGTAGCTGGGACTACAGGCGCCCGCCACCACGCCTGGCTAATTTTTTGTATTTTTAGCAGAGACGGGGTTTCTCCATGTTAGCCAGGATGGTCTCGATCTCCTGACCTCGTGATCCACCCACCTCGGCCTCCCAAAGTGCTGGGATTACAGGCGTAGCAATTTTTTTTAATGAGGTAAATTGTCACATGATGACATGCAATAATGATATTTTATGTGTAAAAGTTACAGAACAACATTTATCATAGTGTTTATGCAGACACAGAGTTCATACATGGCTACTTCTGAGAAGAATATATTGCAAAGGAATGAGGTAATTTTATTTTATTTCTCACCATCCTCCACCATTACGATTTTTTTCTTAAGCACATATATTTTCACAATAATTATTAAAGACTGTGCAAGAGGAGGTGGAACATGAATCAACAAAATAGAGACAATATGTTACTACTGAAGATGCAAGTATAAGTTATACAACATAAAAAAATGTTTTGAAAGGGAAGAATGCACAAAAAGATATTGGAGGCTGGGCGCAGTGGCTCACATCTGTTATCCCAGCAGTTTGAGAGGCTGAGGTGAGGAGATTACTCGAGCCCAGGAGTTCGAGACCAGCCTGGGCAACATGGCGAAACCCCATTTCTACGAAAAATACAAAAATTAGCTGGGCATGGTGGCACATGCCTGTGGTCCCAGCTACTCAGGAGGCTGAGGTGGGAGGATCACTTGAGCCAGGGAGGCAGGGTTTGCAGTGAGCCAAGATCTTGCCACTACACTCCAGCCTGGGTAAGAGTGAGATCCTGTCTCAGAAGAAAAAGGAAGAAGAAATTGGAAAATGAAATAAAGGAAGTAAAAATGAAAGTAGGCAGGATATGATTTTCAAAAGCATTCTTTTAGGGAATGAAAAAAAAAAAAAAAACTGATCATGCTGTTTCTGCTGCCAACTTTCTTGTTACACATGACTCTCAACAACAGGATATTCCGCCCTGAAGCTTAGTTCTCTTTAACGGCCTTATGCAGGCAAGGTAAACAGAAACCAGCATGAGCGTTTGCCAAAAGAGGAAAAAGGGCTAAATAAGACCAGTGCTCAATTATTTTATAAAGTTCTTGTATATCATTTTTTAAAATTCAGAAAACAGCCATACATTTGGGGAATGGACAGGAGTGACAAGCTAATGGAAGACAAGGATCGCTGAAAAGTCCTGGCATTATAAAGTTACAGAATTTTATCTGTAGATATAATTGCTCTCACCAAATCTTTAGAGCCTTTCTATCAATAAATCCTGCCACGTCTATGTACAAAGTCTACCCTGAATCTATCTGCTTTTTCCATTTTGGTCCCCATCCACTCAGTTCAAGTTCACTCCCACCTATTTCCACTGCAGTGGCCTCCCAGTTAGTCTCTCTACTTCTACACCGGCTCTCCTGCTTCCCATGTCATTCCTTTTCTCTCAAGAAAAGCAAACTGTCTTCCTAAAATGCTCATATGATGAAAACCAAAATCCTTCTCTTGGTTTCCAGGCACTGCACACTCGGTCCCTTGCTCATTTTTTCAGTCGCCTTTCAGGTTTCCAACTCTGCTAACATCTTTTTCACCCTAGTCTTTGCACATACTGTTCCTTCAGTATGACTGAAATGCTCCTTCTTGCTACCCTACAGGATTCAGTTTTTAAAAAGCTTCCCCAAATCCCTTCTCCCCTAATCTAAATCAGGTCACAATTTGCATTTGTTTGTATGGTATTGGTTTTATCTGTATGACTGAAATGCTCAGTGTACTTTCAGAATGACTGAAATGCTCATTCTTGCTACCCTACAGGATTCAGTTTTTAAAAAGCTTCCCCAAATCTCTTCTCCCCTAATCTAAATCAGGTCACAATTTGCAATTATTTGTATAGTATTGGTTTTATCTGACTTCCCAACTCTGTTGAAGCTGCGTAACAACACTTGGAGGCTCATAAAACCATCCTCTCTACTTTTGTGTTTATTTTAAATTTACCATAACATATAAGCTTTAACACTTTTCCTCTGATCCTATAAACTAAAAACAACAGTTGTTGCCTGCAATTCTCTTAACTACTTTTTCAAATTCCATATTTTAAAAAGTTTATTTTCCTTTTCATCATTAATTTATTATTGTAACCCCATTAGAGTCACAAAATGCTCTAATTTTTGAATGCCCCCAGCAGGTTCGGCTAGAAGCCCAATGTGCCATCCATTGTGCTATAGAACCAGTTAGAATGCCATAATCTTAAAGTTCCTAACAAGATGTTGTAGGCAAGAAAATGAACTTGAAATTAACATCAGATAACCTAAAAGAAATGTCTGAAGTTCAATTGTTCTGTCACTGTTTTTGCTCCAAAAGTCTTTTATTTGAAAAGGACTCTAGAACAAGGATATAAGACTTCTTTTAGTTCTAGTTTTTACTTTGGATGAATCATTTTCTTTTTTTGTTTGTTTGTTTTAAATAATATTATAAAGAGGTTAAGCTCTATATTTTAATTTCATATATAAAATTCCACAATTTGAAAGAAAAAAGCAGTCCTAAAAATATCAATGTTTATTTTTTCATAAAGCAATAATTCAAAACAACTTTTTTTTCTATTCATTCAGAAGGTCATAACCCAGGAGTGCTGTTTATACTAGATGAATCTACAAAGCCAAGAACAGGAATCACTGTATCTCCTTCAGTAGACCTGATACTGTGAGTCTCCTCTTTTCTGTTAACATATTTGTGCAACATGCTGTAGTACGGGTCCTTCTGATTGAAAGTATACAGTGATGAAATTTGCTGCCACTCTTTAACGCTCGGAGTGTTACATTCTTTCGGATGGGAGCCCTCAAAGAAACATTTAACATTCTCTTTTGCCAATTCAGTTGCATGCTCTGTGGCTTTACTTTTAAGGATCTGCTGCTCCTGTTCCAAATAGATTTTCCAGAATTTCAGCTGCAGAAAACTAACTGGAGACAGGCATCGGCTGACACATGTAAAAATCAGAAGGATGATGATAACAGCTGCTATCAAGATCCAGCCCAACACCTTAAGAAAACACAAAATAGTAATTTAGTTACTTTTTTTTTTTTTTACAAGAAATTTAAAAATCCCCAGATAAAGCTTCAACTACTCTCCAGTTACGACGATGAACAAGCAACAGTTTTAGGTCTTAATTCCTTAAGAGTAAGGTGTCGCAGTAACCTCCCTCGACCCCCAGTACAACTGCTTGCTTGAAAGGTCAACTCTAGTCCAAGTTATGCACTGTGATTCTGCCCAGGGAGGAGCCCATACCACTCCCTTAGAACTCAAAACGTGGAACTTCTGCAAATCCTGGGAAAGAAGTGTTCATTTTAAAGAACTTCTGAGCTTTCTTAGTCCAGATGCAATGTGGGGTGCTGGCTTTACAGCCAGACAGACCCATTTTATTGTATAGACCCCTTTAATTGTAACAATTCTTCTGCTTTCTACTGACTGGGCAAACTACTTAGACTCAGTGAAGTCGCTATATAGTGGAGATACGAAACTATTACTTGTAATGGCAAAACCGCTGTTGTGAGGCGTAAAAATAATGCAGGCGGTCAAGGGCCTAGCGCAATATCTGGCACAGAGTGGGTGTGCCCACTCTCACTCCCACTTTCCACGATTCATGTACAGTGGCAGATACTACAGGAATGCTTTTTTCTCCTTTTCATGCGTTTTATTCAGATATTCGTTTGACGGCAAATTAGATGCAAGGAGCCATTCTAGATTTTCTTAGACATTGTATATCTGGAGAAAAGTCACCGATTTTTCCCTCACCCCAGACGCCCAGCGAAATCTCGGCCCCTCGGCTCTCCCCAAACGCCCCCAGCGCCAGCGGCAGACCTGCGACTGAGCCTTCAGATCCTTCAGGAGGTCCTGCACGTCCGACGCCTTGGCCTCGTGGCAGGGCACCAGCGGCAGCTCCGCGGCGCAGCTGTGGTCGCGCTCGAGGCACAGGCGCTGCGCTAAGACCGCACTCCCGCTGGCCGCGCACTCGTAAAAGGCGCCCGCGAGCAGCGCCACGGCCACCCAAGTGAGGGGCGCGAGCGCGGCGGCCGCGCTGAGCTGCGCGCACACCAGGGAGCCGCGCAGCCCAGATCCGCAACTCGCGCGGGCTCTGCAGCCGCAGCCGGTGATCAGGCGCCACGTGCGTGCGCTCAGCACATAGCCCAAGAGGAAGAGCGCGAGCGCCGGCACCAGCAAGAAGACCAGGCCGTAGGGCAGGTTCCAGGCGGCGCTGCACGGGCACTGGAACACCACGGCGGAGAAGATGCGCTCCCCGCCCGCCGTCAGCAGGGTCACCAGGCCGTAGCCCAGGGCGCTGTGGTGCTTGAGGTGCAGGTCCAGCACTGCCCGAAACTTCTCCATGAGCCTCGTCCCCCGGGACGTCGCGGACAGGCCCTGATCCTTCTGCCTCTTCGCTGTCCTGCTTGTCAAATGGTTTTGGTGGACTGGGCACCGGGGCTTTCCACTCTGCGAGAAGCAGCTGTTTTAAAAGAGAAGAGGGCTTCTCAGACCTTCCTAAAGTTTCACTTTCTCATTTCAGCCACACCAGCTCTGGTTAACGAAGAGAACCAGGCAAACAGACACCCCCTGGACCCTTGACCTCTCTGGCACCCACCCCGTTCCAAAGGCAGAGGCACCAGTTATCTTCCTCCCCCAATTCAGGAACTCTGACAGAAGATTAACCTTGTTCCTTTGTTACCACCAATCTGACAACGAACCAGCAAACTACCTTCTTGACCCACAGCCACCAGTTGGGAAAACTGGGAAATACCAGATTTTCCTCTATTGCAGCCACCCTAGTCACTAAGCCAGATCACAGTAAAACCAAATAATTATCGAAAAACTGACTACTTACGGGAAACATTATTCAAGGACAAATTTCTGGTTCCTCCTTCATAAGCTAAATCATAGCAAAGTCCAGCTCAAGTTCTGATACTTCTATGACGTGCAGCACGCTTTCTGTCTCCCTCCTGGACAGAACCACCAGCCTAGTTCACACTGACTCTTCTCTCCTCTACCTGATCTCCTTCAGGGCATTAGACCAAATATACTGTATTGATTTACTCATCAATACAATGTCATTTTCTTTCAGGTATGTCATAACACGGTCAGTGTTATAGGAGGGTAAAATTCTGACTCTGACCACCAAGCTGATCAGCACAGAAGGGGATACATGATTGTTCAAAGAATACTAGTTGAACCCAAAATTGCAAACTGCAGCTACATCTGTCTAATGTTGTTGTTTCCTCCACCTTCAGTTTTCTGAAGGCAGCATTGTTCTGACACAAACACTGTAACCACTTTTGTGATATTGAGTCTTACTCTGTGTGACTCCAGAGTAGGTTACAGTGAGCTGAGGTGTGCTTGAAAGAACATGGAGTTTGAAGTCAAGCACATCGTGTCTGTGGTGTATTTAACAAGTATGCCCCTCTGAGACACAGCATCCTTATTTGTAAAAGAAGGATAACAGTGCCCACTTTTCAAGATTATTGATATGAGTAGATTGAGCAGCATATGTAAAGTGTCTTTACCTATAGGGTGTGCCTATCAAATGAATGCTCAGTGTGACAGTTTACCCCTTACAGTGCAATTTGGGGAATAGACAACAAATAATTACACTGTACATAACTTAAGAATCTTGATGAATACTGAATTTTGAATTTTAAACCGAGGATCAATTCAGTGGATAGTATTAAGTGACACAGTGACTCTGCTACCTTAAGAGAATTGGTGTACACCTTAGCTGTCTGCTTCACCACAAGGAGGCATCTGGATATGGAGCTTGGGCGGGCAATTCACAGTGAAATGGTTCTTATTGGTGCCCATCCACTAGGCTTGCCTGATTTTATCTGGGAAGAATAGGTAGCCCGTGGAACCAAATGAATTGTTAGAGAAGGAACAAGAAATTTATTATTATTTTCTTAGTCCAACTTGCCTTCTTAACTACTCCCCCTCCAACACCACCAGCAGGGTGCCTAGCATAGTGCCAAAAGCTGTCATTCCATAGTGGTGTGGTAAATAGATATCTTTTTCTGTGTGTTTAGAGGCTAACCCCAGATGAGGATCTTCATGGTCATGCAGGAAAGTTGGAGCCCTCTTCTCTGAGTTTAGACCAGATACTGCCAGGCTTCCTGTCAACTTGCAGCAAAGTTGCATGTTTGAAGCAAATCACTTCTGCTATGACCATTATCTTTGTAATTTTTCATTTCCCAAGATAAACTTCTTCCCTTGTGCCTTGAGTAACTCTCCTCCTACTGCTGCACTCTTCTTCACCTCTACCATAATACTCTATTGTGTCCTCTCTCCTCCACCCTTCCCATATTCCATCATGCACGAACATCAGTATATCCACAACCTTTGTGCAGATGGCTTTATCCAAATCTCCTCTAATTGAAACCTAATAAAAATGCACCCTTCTGTCTTCCTGAGTGAGATTAATTTATTCTCCCACATCTCTCAAACCAAGCGGGATGGCTGACATTTTCCTGGTTACCTACTGATAGCCATTCCAGGGTTTTACCACTGTGCTGTAATAGTTTATCATCCACTAAGGCTCAATCTAATCAGCACCATCTCCTCCTTCACCTCATTCCTATGGTCTGGTTTTGTTCCCTTCATTTATTAAGACTCTAATGAAGTCCATCACCTTCTCTTCTCTGGCTTCTGTTATTTAGTCAATGATTTGTTTGAAATATGTTTACTTACAGAAACTTTAATCTATCAGCCCCCTCCCCCAACTAGATTAATTCGTTTGTTAACCAGTTATTAATTACTTCATTTGTTCATTCATTCATTCATTCATTTAAATGTTTAATAAACACTCAGAATATGTCAGGTATCTATCAAAAGTACTTGGAATTGCTGGATACAACAAGGAAGAAGACACAGGTATCCAGCCATCTTTGAACTTATAGTAGAGATGATATAGCAAATGGAGAGAAAGGGTTCTGAAGATTATGCACAGGATAAATTGGAGTTAGAGAGTGTCCTGAAAGAGCCTCTATGAGAAAATGACATTTAATCTGAATGAGTCTGGGGTACAAAGGAGCTTGGTTGGAAAGAAGGCCAGAGTGATGGGAGCATTGAGAATGACAGGCAAGTTGGCACATCATGAGGCCAAAGCTGCAGGTTGGAAGGTCAGGTTTAGGTGCTTCATAGACCAGAATATGTAGTCTGAAATTCTGCCTCTGAAACTTATCACAGACTGAGCTGCATCCTGACATTGTGAGCTTCTGTCTCTTAAACACCCCTTCCTGGGTTTGCTGTTTTTGTACTCTCCTAAACACAAATCTCCCAGATGCAATGATCATTCAGAACTTAGTACAGGTTTCTATAATTGAGAGTCCAGGATTTGCCTGCCAGCCTGAATGTTTCCCCAGCATCTGGCTTTGAGTCTAGTACCTTGCCATCCACTCCCACCACCACTGGATTGACTGGTTCTAGCTCTTGGTCTATTGAAGATTCCCAGCCCTCCATACCCAGCTCTGTTCTGAGAGGATATTGCTCAGAAGTTCAGCCCTTAGTGGAAATTGACTAACACCCTAATGCTGTGGAGAGGTAGACTAAATAACATTTTAAACGTCTTTACACTTTTGAAAGGCTGTGATTTGCTTTAGCTGTTAAGAAATGAGTAGTAGAACGTCGTCAGCAAAGCCTGAGTCCTGTCCTCTTGCTCTCCTCCCTGGACAGCATGACCTTCACCACTTGCTCCGCCTTCTCCACCAACTACCATTCCCTGGGCTCTGTCCAGGCACCCAGCTTCATCGTCCGGCTGGTGAGCAGTGTGGCCAGTGTCTATGCAGGCACCAGGGGCTCTGGTTCCTGGATCTCTGTGTCCCGTTCCACCAGCTTCTGGGGCGGCATGGGATCTGGGGGCCTGGCTGTGGGGATGGCCAGGGGTGTGGCAGGAATAGGAGGCATCCAGAATGAGAAGGAGACCATGCAAAGCCTGAATGACTGTCTGGCCTCCTACCCGGACAGACTGAGGAGCCTGGAGACTGAGAACTGGAAGCTGGAGAGTAAAATCCAGGAGCACCTGGAGAAGAAGGGACCCCAGACCAGAGACTGGAGCCATTACTTCACGACCGTCAGGACCTGAGGGCTCAAATCTGCGCAAATACCGTGGACAATGCCCGCATCGTTCTGCAGATCAGCAGTGCCTGTCTTGCTGCTGATGACTTCAGTGTCAAGTATGAGACAGAGCTGGCCACGTGCCAGTCTGTGGTGAGCGACATCCATGGGGTCCACAAGGTCACCGATGACACCAATGTCACTCAACTGCAGCTGGAGACAGAGATCGAAGCTCTCAGACAGGAGCTGTTCTTCATGAAGAACCAACCGCGAAAAGGAAGTACAAGGCCTACAAGCCGAGACTGCCAGCTCTGGGCTGACCGTGGAGGTAGATGCCCCCAAATCTCAGGATCTTGCCAAGATCATGGCAGACATCCAGGCCCAATATGACAAGTTGTCTGGGAAGAACTGAGAGAAGCTGGACAAGTACTGGTCTCAGCAGATTGAGGAGAACACCACAGTGGTCACCATGCAGTCCACCGAGACTGGAGCTGCTGAGATGACGCTCACAGAGCTGAGACATACAGTCCAGTCCTTGGAGATCAACCTAGACTCCATGAGAAATCTGAAGGCCAGCTTGGAGAGCAGCCTGAGGGAGGTGGATGCCCGCTATGCCCTGCAGATGGAGCAGCCCAATGGGACCTGATGCACCTGGAGTCAGAGCTGGCACAGACCCAGGCAGAGGGACAGTGCTAGGCCCAGGAGTACGAGGCCCTGCTGGACATCAAGGTCAAACTGGAGGCTGAGATCACCACCTGCCAATGCCTGCTGGAAGATGGTGAGGACTTCAGTCTTGGTGATGCCCTGGACAGCAGCAACTCCATGCAAACCATCCAAAAGACCACCATCTGCCGGATAGTGGTTGGCAAAGTGATGTCTGAGACCAATGATACCAAAGTTCTGAGGTATTAAGCCAGCAGAAGTAGGGGACCCTTTGGGGAGCAGGAGGCCAATAAAAAGTTCAGAGGTGAAAATAAATAAATAAATAAATAAATAAATAAATGAGTAGTTGAGTCTCACATTAAGCACAGTGTAAAGCCAATGGTTATGGGTTCTCTTTGGTTTCCTTTAACTGTAGTACTTTGTTTTTCAGCACTATCATTTTCAATGTCAGGAATGGGTTTCAGAAACCACAGAGCATTTCTTGGAAAAGAAACTTCTTGAAAGGAAATGCACATACCCACTGTGAATCTGAAAGTATCTTGCATTTGTCTTCATGTGTGCTAGTTCTCAAACATTGTTCTCTGCAGCTTTCATAAGAATGCAGACTAATGGCATGACCCTGCTTGGAATATGACTGCTAGATTCTCATACAACATTAGTCTTGGCCCCAAGACCCTCCAAAAGGAGTAAAATCAAATTAGGATTCAAATATCATAGGTAACATGTGCAAGAAGAAATGCCAGATGCCAAATTAACAAGTTAGTTTACAAAATCTGACACTCCTACTCTTAAAGGGAGTATCTTTCTGAATGTTAAAATTTGTGGATGTATTGCTCATGTTAGATAACATATTTGAAAATCTGGAACATGCTATTATCTTGATGTATTTCAAATGTTTATAAAAGTTTTTCCAACAGAAGTGTAAAGCAGAAGGAGGGAAAGATCAGACTCTTTCCTTGGCACAGAGCCGTCATTTGTTAAATGGCAATCCCACGACATTTCAAAAAAAATCTCTTTAAAGATCTTTATTCCTCTCTTAGCATGAATTTCCTATGCCTATCACAAAAGTTTTAGTATTTAGTGATTAACACACTAATTTTTTTCTTGCAGCAGATAGTTAATTTAACTCTGTTAAAAGAAAAACCATAGCCACATTAAATTTAACAGAGT